AATGTTTCCATCATCACATACAACATTCACATCATCACATAGTGATAACAAATAAAGCTCATTTTGTAAGATAGCAAGACCAACACATGTATTATTAAATGTTATCTTACATTTGCCATTTTCAAAATGGCAATCATATCCATCATTGTCCAAGCATGAAACACTAATCAAGTTTTTCTGTAAAGATGGAACATAAAGTACATCTCTAAGTAAAAGTGTGAAGCCATCAGCAAGCCCTAGAGAAAGATCGCCAATGGTTTCAACATCTGCTAAGACTCCATTTGCAACTTTCACGTGTCTTTCTCTTCTTTGTGTAGTCCTCGTCGAACGGAATCCCTGTAAGGAATTAGTAACATGAACAGTTGCACCTGAGTCAATCCACCAAGTAGATTTCGAATACTGTACATACAGGGATTCATTTATGAACGTAATAATATTCTCACCTTTCTTTGCCATGATCATCTTTAAATAATCGGGACAATCTTTCTTATAATGTCCCATCTTCTTGCAATAGAGACACTGGTCTTTCTCTACTGTGAACTTGTTCTGCTGAGGCTGATGCAGCATGGGACCCTTTCCCTTTGACTTTGAGAAGGAGTTAGCATTATTATTCTTTTTCTTGTTGTCTTTCATATAATTGATAGTGCCACCATTGACAGCTTTCATTCTCTCCTCCTCTTGCACACACATAGCCATGAGCCTCACTTCTCGGACTGTATGTTGTAGTTGACAACAAAAGTGTCAAATTCCTTTGGCAAGAAAGCAAAAATCAGATGGATAAGGAACTCTTCCTTGAGAGCCAGATTCATTGATTTTAGCTTGGATGCCAAATTACTCATCCTTAGTATGTGCTCTCTTATGCCACCATTTTTAGAGTACCTCTCTGTCACCACCTGCTTTATCAGCTGGGTTGCATATGTCTTTGAAGAGCCAGTGAACTGACTCTTTATTCTATCAAGATACTCGGTGACCGTGTCACACTCTAGGATTGAGCCCACAATTATAGGCTCAATCGTGTTCTTTATCATAGCCAAACATTTCTTGTTGGTAGTGACCCACTTCCTATGCTCAAGGTCATAGGACATCTTTTGGGATTCAAAATCCCTCTCTCTAGTTGTCCAAGCGGCATCAGCCTCGTTTATCTCCCTCACCGGTGCCACAGGCTCAGTGGGATGCGGTGAGGTGACTACCCAGTCCACCTCAGCTAAGATGAAGGTCAGGTCAATCTTTTTCTTCCCCTCCGTGTAGTTGTCACCTTTGAAAGTGGGGATCTCTTTGATACAACCCATCAAGTTGTATCCGCCTGAAAACACAATTCATATAGAGTGAGAACATAAATAATAACAACAATTGCATGTCTTGATTCCAACGTTGGTCAAAATTAAAACATACAACTGTTTATACATTAAATCTACATCACCGTAAGGCAGAAATAAAAATAATGCATAAAATCATTAAAATTACGATATTGTTATTAACAACGTTGGTCAGAAAATAACAACATCATAATCATGTTAAAGTCTTTTTTCTCTAATTAAATATCACGTTGGTTCAAAATAACTGGAGAATAAACTATTTCTTTAGCAGCGGAAAACGTAAAAAATTATCTATTTTTCAGAAGCATTTCTCTGTAATTTCTCTATTCTCTGGAAATTTATCCTGTTGGTTCAAATTTTGACAGAGATTCAAAATTTGACAAAAATTCATCGAAATTTGCTTCTGAAATTGTCAAAACTGCTTCTGAAAAATAAATAAGAACTTAATACGCTTATGGATGAAAGCGGAACGGAAATTCCGCATCGGTTTCCGACACCGCTAATACTCCATTTGAAATTCCCGACCAATATCGCTTTTCTCGGAAAAAATCCATGCGGATTCGGGAAGAAATCCGGAAAATACGGCGAATCCGGTGTCGAAAACGGTTAGAGTGATTTCCTCACCGAATTAGCGGATCCCGATTTGTTCGGAAAATTTTCCCGCGTGAAATTCCTCGCTTTTTAAGGCTCGCAAACCCCCCTTTGACGCTCCATCGCTTCATGCTTGGCCCGTTGTCTCCATTTTTTTTTCCATTTTCTTTTTGTTCATTGTTTCAACGTTGCTTGGCCCAAAGGAAAATTCCCGCGAACGATGACTCCACTCCAAGATCACCCTTGAGAGCTTTCCAACGCTTCATCCATAGGCCCAAATGATACCGCTCTGTCCACCGAACAAAGGAGTCGACGAGTCATTCATCGCGCCCATCGTTGCTTGGCCCAGAATTCACGCATGGAGCATCATAGCCAAACATTTCTTGTTGCAAGGTTTGGCCTTTTGTTCATTTTTTTTCATTTTCTTTTTTGGTAGTTCGTAGTTTTCTTTGCATAAATATTCATCTAAGATGAAGCTCAGGTCTGCTTGCTATTGTTTGCATATGGATTATGCATGATTGCTATTGTTGCATCGAGCTCACAATTTCAAGTGGTTACATATATCGATGTTTCCGCTTTGTGTTACCGCTTCCCGATCGTAAATCGACATCGCCCCGCTCGAAATATTCCGCTCCCGATATCCCGTAATATCGGATTCGCTTTCCCGTCCGCCTTCCTGCTCCTGCTCTGCTCCCGTTGGTTCAAAAATACAGGAGCGGGAATGGTTAAGACATTTTCCCTACCGCTCTTTCTCTTGCTTTCATCCCTAAATACGCTGTTGGTCATCTGCTTCATTTGGCCCGATCCTTCAAATTTGCTGTCATGCCCTTCTAAAAAATAAATAAGAGCTTAACACGATAATGCATAGCCTTGCGTCAGTGCGCGTGCCCTCCCCACGCCCAAAAAGCCGCAGCCTTTGCCTGGCTGGCCGAGAATTCAACTTCCCTTGGGCTCAATCTGGTCCAAGGCGCTCTCGTCCGTTCATCCAGATCCGACGGCCAGGCGTCGACTTCGAGATATCAACCCCCCCGGCCGTGCCGCTCCCCCAAACCCTAATTCATTCGACTCCTCTCTTTCTCTCTCTCAGCGCAGCAGACTGAGCGTAGCAGCAGCGAGCGAGAGCAAGCGGTGATGGCGCCGTCGCCGGTCCCCTCGTCGGCGTGCGCGCTCCCCAGCGGGTGAGCACGCCGCCGTCGAGCGGTCTGGGCGGCGGTGCCCTGATCCCCACACGCACTGCGGTGAGGAGCTTGCGAAACCCTAGATCTGACCCGGCCGCATCTCCTTCTCTCTCTCAGCGCAACGAGCAGCAGCGGCGACCGAGCGAAGAGAGAGACTATGGCGCCGTTGCCGGCCCCCTAGCCGGTGCGTGCGCTCCCCACGCGGGTGAGTGTGCCGCCGTCGAGCGGACTAGCGACGGCGCCCTTGGCTGGAGCACGCACCCACGCGCCGACGAGGCGGCAGCGCGGTGCAACGGCGAGATATGCCTCTTCCCCATCCCCTTTTCTTCTCTGATTTGATTTGATTTTCTTTTCTTCTCGGATCAATCCGATTTGGGGATTAGGGTTTGGTTAGGGTTAGGGTTTCGCTCACTGTTCTTATTCCCCGAGTATGATTCGAGGGTTGGGGTTCGGCTTCGCATGCCGAGACCCCTTTCTCTTCTTTGTTCTTTTCTTGCCGCGCGCAGGAGAAGACGGCGGTGAGGCACCTTTCCCCACGCGGTGGCGGTGGTGACCGGCAGTTGAGTGACGCCCGCCACCCCCCGGTCTCTTTTCATTTTCTTTTACCCGGTTAGGGTTAGAAATTTTGGATCAAAACTAGGGTTAGGGATTCGATTTCACTGTGTTTTTCGTTCACCCGATCTAGATCTAAAAGCCCTAGAAGACCTGGCTCCGGTACCATTGTTAGAACGAACATGACCTTAGCCGTAGATCTAGCGGGTACATCTTACTATAAACATGATGAGCACACCCTAGAACTTTGAGCTACTAGATCTAGAGGGAGAGAAAAGGATGGAAAGGGCTGACTGTCTGTGTCCTTGGAGGAGGATCCACTCGCGTCCGCTATGGAGTTGGTGAAGGCAGTGGAGGCCTGTGATGCAGTCCGATGGCGCAGTTTGGTGGCGGCGAGGCAGTGGAGCTTCCCGTCACTAGCTGCGCACCCTCTAAATCGGATTAGGGATTTCGGTGGGGAACTGTAGCTCGGTCGTACTCAGAGTCGTCAGCCCCCACCTCTATATATTGCAGCAGTGTGACAGGGGCCCTCCAGCCATACTCCAGCCATAGTGGGTTGGGCGTCCCCGATCAGGGCGCGGATCAAAGCCCCAACTGGGCCATTGGGCCCAGTTTGGGATTAGAGATCAATCTAACAACGGAAAGCGAGATCCGAGGAAATCCGACCCACCTGCTCAAATGGCGCGAGCCTGTTCGTTTGGCTGTGACTTGTCGTAAACGATCGTAAATTTTCAGTCGGAACAATATTTTTCTCTCACACAAATCAGCCAGCAGTGCTTCTTCATGAACCAGCAACGATACGAACCTGCCAACCAAACAGACGGTACGCTTCGGGTCAGGCCTGGAGGCTCAGAACCTGATCTACTTCGGTTCTTGGCAGGGGTGATGGTGATCGTCTACCAAACTAAGACCCAGAGTCCCAGCGATCTTGACACTCGTCTACAGATGTGCAACGCGCCAACGCAGAAGACCAATGAGTCCATGTAGCAGCACACCGAGAGACCCGACAGGCCCTTAACATAGATAGACCCATTAGTCAACGAAATAACCAGGGAGAGGAGTGTTAATAATTAAGAAAAAAACAGGGAGAAGAGCGAATTGGAATACGGGATTATGCGAAGTTTAACATAAATTGCAGGCTCCTATAGTCCTGTGCAAGGGCTTCACATACTTATCCATTAGTTTAGCCAGTCTCACACAATTGCTACAGCGGCTTATAACAGTACAACGGGCAAAGTGGTATGCAATATCAGTGCAGAGCTTACACACAACTGGCATAAGAGCTGTTTGCTTGTCAGCAGTTCAGCACTAGCCAAACATCTGTACTACTGTACCCTTCGTAAGGCCACTTCAAGCACTTGCATTACATCGAAGTAAACATCTCAATCCGTTCTCCATTCTGGGAAACAAGGGGGTCCAGGATGCCGATCCATGTGCTGTAGTCGATAGGCGATCCACCCCCAGGCTGAAGGAAACCATTCACGAAGAAGAACGGCGCGCCATAAACTCCCCTCGTGCACCCATACTGAAGCAGAACAAAGTACCATGCAGGACAATTTCATTAGTGATGAACAAACTCAGGGTAGATATTTATTAGAATTTCTGATGCTTCACTTGGTGCAGCAAGGAAAGCTAACCTTGAAAGAAACTCTCGCTGCCGAATCTGTCTTTGTGTCGCTGAAGCCTGACAGGAACTCGGATACTGAATTACCAACAGTCTGCGAAGCCATCTTCGACATTTCTACAGCTACAGAAGTGCTTGAGAGCGATGATGTGGCAGAATTGTAGAACTTTTCCTGTTTGTGTTTTATCAACAAGGTAATTATAAACATTTCAGAGAAACTTTAACATGGTAAGCGGTAAGAAAGAGGACAGCATGTGTATGGCAAAGAAAGCTATATAAGTACAAATTGCTTTAGCAGCAATAGTTTCTGCTGTCATGACTTTGCTGAAAGCAAAAGTGTTTTTTGTTGCTCCTTAAGGACCCGTTTGGAAGGAGAATTGGGATCCAAATCCTTTAGGATCTGTTGATGCCAAAATTGCCTGGGGATCCCTTCAAAAAAAATTGGGGTAGATACTATAGTAACACATTTCACTGAACATAAAAAATCCCCTACTAGAATATAATTCAGAACTCACTGATAATAAAAGAGAGCTCAATTGGCATATGAAAAGGATAATCAAGCGGATATAAAAAAAGTTAACCATTGTAATGGGGAATGTGGTGGACCTGGTTCTTGAAGAACAGCTCCAGCAATGGATATGTTGATGACGAATTCAACTTGTTAGCTATGTAAAGTGCACGGCAGGCATGGAATGCATATGTGTGGTATCTGTAGTTGAACATCAGAGGAAGAAAATGTGAGAATCGTAGTTAGGAACTTACTAATAGAAAAAAAACAAGATCGAACAGTTTTAGAGTTGAAAAGTCCATAACATGAACCATTTTCGGTATACAAATTGTACTGCCAACAAAAAAAGAAAGCCTGCAATCAAGAAGCAACTATAACACCTGGCACCTGGAAGCATGCAAGGGACCATGTATGACCCGATTTGGTAAAGAAAAACAATTGACATGAGAGAACATGAGATGCAATCATTGGGTCTAAATAGTACCATCTCAGTATATGGAGCACCCACTTGATTCTGCAAAGGCAAGGTTCTGTAGCAAATAGCAATCTTAATTAAAGATCTCGTTCTGTATAGTAATAGTTAACTTGTTAGTGGGAACTGGGAATAGTTTTAAGCAACTGAGTCCAGGGGTATCCAGCCTACCCCAACTTGTTTGGGACTTAAAGGCTTTGTTGTTGTTGTTGTCGTAGTCCAGGGGTAACCGATTGCAGGAAATGAAACAGTACATCTCCAAATACAATATATAGTTGCATATACCATTAACATCACGAATCACACCCAACCAAACAGGAATATATCCAAACAAACAACACGAATGAGAAACAAAATGGTTTCCTGTCATAACTTTCCAACCTAAAGCAGTAAAGCAGCATCATAGTGACACCATCACCAAATCAGGGACACCGAGCCTGAACCAGAGGATCCTCATGAACTTGCTCTTTTTGAAAACTGCTAAGGATTACCCCAATTTCGTAGTGAGAAATCTCAGATTCGCCAGCTTAATCAGTGCAACGGGCTTTAGTGAAACTACTCAGCTACTTCAGCCAATCAGTGTGACTGAGATTGCCCACTGATGAAAACCCACTAAGTCTCCCACGGTCCCACCGCTATGGAAAAGTTTCTCCCGATATATAGACCCTGAAAGACAGACGCCATGTTAGAGTAAGCGCCCGTGCTTACGGTAGCGGGAAGGGGTGGACGATGAGTGAGACCCGCGGCGCGTATCGCTCGACGGCGAGCTTGAGCGGGTGCCAGGAGTCGCGGCTGTCGGGGCAGAGCGGGTCGAGGAAGGCCTCGACGAGGACGGCGTCCTTCCAGGCCGCCGCGGCGCCGCCGCCGTAGGCGAAGCCGTCGTACCGCGGCGGGACGGAGGCCTGCGCCTGCAGGAAGAGGAGGTAGTAGGAGCAGGAAGCCGCGACGGCCGCCAGGAGGAGCAGGCGCCGGAGCAGCGGCGCACGCGCGGGCCTCGCCATCTTGCGTGTGCCTCTCTCGATCGATCGATCCTGGAACTGGGCGGAAGGAAAGGAACTAGGAAGTCGCCGCTGGGTCTGGGTCTGGTCCCGGAAATGGGGAGAGGAGGAACAGCGATGTCGGATCAGTGATCGTGGAATTCGAGATCTTTTTCTTGTCTTCATTCACCCTTTTGCTTGCGTAGTTGCGTTTCTATTAGGGCCCATGCACAGTCGTGGTGTAGTGGAACTGACGTTTAGGCCCAGTCCACCAAACACGAGTGCGATGGCCGGTGGATCAGCTTATTGGGCCTTTTACTTGGACCATATCGTCTCGTCTGTATTCCGTCTGCAGCCGAGAAAGCAACGCCCAGCCTCCTGTCCTGAACTCCTGATCAGCCTGGCGTGACCCGTGAGAGAAGAGTGCTGTCGAGCGGCAGGAGCAGCAGTAGTAGTACAAAACTGTGCGCGCGCGACGCGACCGATCGAGCAGGGGGGCAGCTCTCTGCCTGCGTCCTGCCGGCGTGCACTGGCGCGGCGTAGGGGTGCGCGTAGCGAGGCCGGCTGACCGCGCCTGCATCCCTCTTCCCCGTTTCACGAATCAGGACCAGGCAGGCAGGCAGCTGCTGCCTGCTGGAGTGCTGGCGCTGGAGCACGCACGGTGCCGTGCGGCGGGCAGGTAGACCGCGCGGCGCGGGAAGCCGGGAACCGCGCGCGTGGGCCACGGCCACCGGCAGGCGGCGACAGCGGTCACGGTCTCGTTCGTGCTCATGCTCACGCTCACGGCTCACGCATGCACCAGAAGTCCAGAAGAGAGGACACGAGCAGGAGCAGCCGTAGCCCGTCGGCATACTGGCACGCGACGCGACAACAGTCGTAGACTACTTTATGAAACTACTCCTAGACTCCTAGAGGAGTAGGCATACGTACTGGTAGACCCCTACGAGCTAGCTTTCGACGACGGGAATTGGGAGAAGTAAAGTGAAGGAAAAATCGGAGTAGTAAAAAATGGAGAGGAGGAGCAGTGTGGCTCGAAACGTTGGTCTGCTCTCGGTGTGGCAATGGCAGTGGCAAGCCTTTGCGTGGAGGGGACGCCGGAGCCGGAGCCGGAGAGGACGCCCTTCGCCCCTTGCCCTCGCTTCCCTTCGCCGGTTCGCCGTTCGCCGTTCGCCGTTGTGCCCATCCCTCCCCCGTTTCTTCCATGGTGATGATGATCGCATCCGAGCATCCGGCCGACCGGCCGCTACGGAGGCAGGCCGGACCGTCGGATGGCAAACCGAGACTGCTCTGAGTTAAAGAAGGCTGGTCCGTAGATACGTGCTCCCGTCCAGCTGCAGTAAATAACGAATCAACGGATCAGAGATTTGCTCTTGAATCGAACCAAACAGAAAGGCACGCAGGTGGCGGTGCAGATAATAATAACAATATTAATAAAGTAAATAAATAAATAAAGAACTACTACAAAAACGTGGCTGGCGTTGTATAGGGTGTTTAAATATTAATAAAAAAATAAATTACATAATTCATCAGTACTTTACGAGATGAATTTTTTAAGCTTAATTAATCTGTTATTAGTATATATTTACTGTAGCACCACATAATTAAATCATGAACTAATTAGGTTTAAAAGATTCGTCGCCCACATTAGTCGTAAACTATATAATTAGTTTTATAATTAGTCTATATTTAATATTATATATATATATATATATTAAATATTCAATGGGACGGTCAACTAAAATATTTAAGAGCGGCGACCAAACGCTACCTAACTTTCTTCGTACGCGTACGCCTACTTTCATAGCAGACACTGTGACGAAGCCAGGACACGTTCGATGAGGAGGTCGTGGAGCAGCAGAGCAGCGCTATCCAAGGTCAAAGTTTCGCTTTGGCACGTCGCGTGTCACTGGGGCATCGAGTGAGGTGGACTATCCTAGCTGACGCATGAATATCAGGAACCTACAGTGGCTTCTTTGTTTTTTAAATTGAACGGTACAACAAAGACCCTTGCAATACGCACGTAGCCTCCTCTTACCAACACACGAATGTAAACCCTTCCCTCTAAATATCTTTGAAGAACTTAGTCGATAGATCACGAGATTCATAAAGTTATCTATAGGTGTCTCGCTGTCGACGGGGACGTCGTCTACTACTAAAAGCATAGCGCCGTTAAATCCTAAAATAAATTTAGAAAAATACGAGCACCCGTGTCAAATCGAGAACTTCAACCCGGGTGGGCAGGTTCCACCATAAAGAGTCCAACCAACTGATCTATGATCAGTTCGCGTGGCTTCTTTGTTCTTTGAACCTACTAGTAGTACCACAATGCAGCATTTTTTCCGGGTATTGATGGGACTCGGACGCCACCTCGTCGTCACTCCCACGCGACCCTAGGGCTCGCTCTCAGCCTCCGCGTCCACCTCCACTCCACTCCAGCCTTTGCTCCTGTCTCCGTCCGCTTCCACGCCACCTCCACTTCCGCAACCGCTTTGGCTAGGTTTTCGGCGACAGCGGCCTCCCTCTCCGGCCTCTCCTCTTCTCCAATTCCAATGGTATATAAGGGATTGTGAGGAGAGGCAGACCGACTAGACGGTGGGGACGGTGTCCGGGCGGCTTAGGGTCCTGGCCACGGTGTCAACGCTCGGGCTAGGTCGGGACGTGGCGGGGCATCGCAGCGGTGCTCGCCGGCGCCCATAGCCAGTGGCGGCGGCATGAGGGGGGAGGAGAAAGGAGGAGGCCGCCGCGGACGCGGTAGGGTCTCGTCGAAGCTCTACGGCCGCGGCCGCGGAGGTGGAGCTTTTGCGACGGCGGGCGGTGAGTGAGGAGGAAGAGGGGCTGAGGGGCGTCCGAACACAGACGCGGGGAAGAGGGGACGTTGTCGGTCACGGCCTCACGGGGAGGAGGCCATCTGGGCGTGGACATGCTCCGAGCGCTAGCAGCACCGTTTCTTTTCTGGCTACCAGTATTGTTACGGTGACCTTGTGCACCTAGCAAAATTCATGACCCACGCAAGTGTCCTGGATGACAATGACAAGGGCGAGTAGCAAAGGCTGTGTTTAGTTCGCGAATTTTAGAAATTTGGCTACTGGTAACACTTTTGTTTTTATTTGGTAATTAGTGTTCAATCATGGACTAATTAGGCTCAAAACGTTCGTCTCGTAATTTCTCACCAAACTGTGTAATTAGTTTTTTTTCGTCTACGTTTAATGCTCCATGCATGTATCGTAAAATTCGATGTGATGGCTATTGTAGCACTTTTTGAGAATTTGATTGAAAACTAAACAAGCCCTACACAGAGACCATTTTCAGGGCTCGCGGCTCCACAACTCCACAAAACCCGGGCCTAATTCACCTCTCGTGTCGCCCACCACATGGTGCGCCTGCGCCCCCGCGCACGTTTGCCGCGGATAAAAAACGAGGAAGAGACACCCGTCGCCCTTGTAACTTGGGCTCGCCGGACTAAACAACTCCGCCACAGGCACCATGGCCAGTTGTTAACACTCCTGAGACACCCACCTAACAAGGTGGGTTTACCGCCCCGCGCCCGTTTGCCATGATAAAAAAGCAAGGTCCGGGACCCCGCGTCGAACACAATAACTTGGGCTCGCCCAGAAATGGGTGTCGCGTCCGGCACCAATCTCTGTTTTGCCTCCCGTGACGCGCACACGGCTGCTGCAAGGCGGGTCGCAGCGTAACAAAAGGATGAAACGAACCGCAGCGCAAGGATGGGGGACCCCGCAGAGAACGCAATAATTGCCCAGCGAGCGAGCTGTCGCAGCCAGGGCCACGTTTAATTGGTGCCTGATTCGCGCCGCCCGGATTGGTGAAGGTACTGCTGCGCCCGCCTGTCGCATTTGGTCAATAATTGTCCAAACATTGACTAACCGCAGCGCAATGATGGGGAAACGGCAGGAATTTTTGATTTCGCAACCGGCCGGCGATCAGAAATTGAGGCAGCCAGGCAGAAGCTCCATGACAAAGTTGACGCAATGATCCGCGGCCACAGAAGCTGCTGCCTGAAACGATCCGAAACATGTGCGCCTGAAACGATGAAACATGGCGAGCTTGGCCCTTTTCTGCCGCCAATCGGTTGATGGGTTCAACGTGGGGGAAGTGTGGGAGCCGGCGCCGGCTCTGTACTTCCGTCCTCCTGTGCGAAAATGGGGTGGGGTCGTTGGTTGCTGGAGTCCAAAAACCATCAAGATTGTTTCTTGTCGGATGGGGCAGAGGAACTAGGAATAGTATCATGTGACTTGAAGCGTTGGTTCAAATCAATCGGCTTCCTTGGTGTTACCTGCATTACTGGGCAGTCCCAACATCCAGACAATTATCAAACATTTTATTTTTGATAAAGAAACTCAAACTTATTTTTGATAAAGAAACTCAAACAAGTGCCACATCTGGTATATCTCAAAAAAACAATGACGGGTAAAAAAGATGGATGATAAGACCTAAAACGACCTCTAATAACTAAAAAGTACATCAAAGACCAAATCGAACATATTTGGCATGACTTAAAGGGTCTGTTTGCTTGGAGGAATTCTGGATGAATTTAAATGGTTTGGATGAATGCTGGAGGAATCTGTGAGAGAAAAACATTGTTCCAGATAAAAAAAGAAGCAGATCAAGCCGAGTTTAAGGGCACGCGAACGGGACCAAAGCTAGACTCCATCGGTTGTAACTACTCCCTCCTTCCTCGAGGTTTTAGTGGAGTTTTATGTCTCGGTTTTCAAGATTCATAGTGTAGACTACTTTCATCCTAATAAAACTTACTTCACTCTATAAACTTTTATTATTTCTGTTTATTAATATTATGATGTGTCAAAATATTTGCTGCTGAGTTGATAGCTTATTTGCTCAAGAAACTCTCGTAAAACCATCACTGAGGCTGTCCTGATACTTGAACTTTTAAGCAGTTTTTGGTATAGCTTTGGATAGTTTTACATCCTCCCGACAAATATTGTAGTGCTAGGGTTTGGAATTGCGCAGCGGAGCTATTTTGAGTTTTTTTCCCCGAAAGATCA